GAAGTGACCTCAAAACCAAAGCCATCCTGGGCAGGCCCCCTGTTTGGTTTCATTGCCGCTAGTGCTCCCTGCCCCTCACTTTCCCCCCCGATTTCCTTCCCACGCCCCTGAAAATTATCGAAGGGCTTTCGTTTTGCTATCTGCAAATCACGTAGATGCACGGCTGGCGATGATGCTTATGCAACCTGAAGAGTTTCGATGCCTCTCTTCACTCCTGCTCTCACTTAACAAGCATGGCGTGACTTCTGAATTCTGCCTGGCGCCTGAGTCAACATCAAACTGAGCAAATCTAAGATGAAAGTCTCTCAAACCCAGCTGAGCACAATTCGGTATGGAAAGTGTGGCGTTCCTTCCACGAGGCGCTGAATCTGCAAGAATTATTCTTTTGAGGGCAAAGTGCTTTCATTTTGTTTTTGAAAGAGGGCTAGGCTCATCTATTTTCAATATCTGAGAAAGTTTTGATTACCAGGCTGCGCCATATTTTCCCGTTTAGAGAGAATGAGGAACAAAGAATGAGAATCCTGACTTCGAACCTTGATCCCCAAGGACCCGGCCCAAGGATGCCCTTCCTAGGGCAGAGCTGGCCGTTGCTGCGTTCAGTATACATGCAGTGTAACACTTGTCGTGTCTAGATGTCCTGATGCTTGGAAGTGAAGCAGGGGGCACGATGGAGCTACCAACAGGCTAGATCAGGGGTTTCCAACCTGGGCAACTTTAAGACCTGTGGACACCAACTCCCAGAATTCCCTAGCCAGAATGGCGCTGTTCACACCTTAAGGCTCTACAGCATGGCTGGATGGGGAATTCTGGGAGGTCCACAAGTCTTAAAGTTGCCATCTTTGGAGACCCCTGAGCTAGATGGAAACTTGCAGCTCTGCATCCAGTGGTGAGGAACCTTCAAGGAAGGAGAGATTCCCCACCAAATACACGGAGATGGAGAATCTTAGCCCACCTCCAGAAAACAAAGCAATGGAAAACTGGGAGGGTTTGTGTTCTGCCTTCTAAGCAAAAGTTTCCACATATATATATTTCCATTTCCCATCTTCACCATCTCCATCCTCAACCTCATCACCATCATCATCTCTCTCTCTGTGTGGGTGTCTCTCTCCAAGCCCCTCTAGTGTCCACCTCTCTATCCAGCTGAGGGTTCTGGAAGAGCTGAGCCCCAGTACATCTCACAGGGGCCCGATGGGACCTCTGGGTTGGACCAGTCTGAGCTGCTGGCATCTCTATGGCCACTTTGGGAAGGACCTTTCCAGTTCTGATCCAAAAGCTCAGCCAACGAGGCCTCAGGACGAGAAATGGCTCTGGGTGGCCCAACTCTTTTGCAGCACAACCAAGCCAAGGGTGTGCTTGTGGGAGAGAAAAATGACAACATTTTTTTGGAAAGTCCCCTGTTTATTCAGTCATTCCCCAATTTGGTTAATTCATTTGGCTGCCTGTAATTAGTCTGCTTGGCTTTCCAGAGGAGACAAGCCCATCCATTGTTTGGAAGGGAGAGTAGGCAGAAAGCAGTGAAATAGTAATCAAAGTTTTCTCCAAGGGGAATTTGGGGGAGAGTGCCATCTGCCTACTTATCAGCAGCCAGAGGAAATTACATCTCCCAGCTCTGCAGAATTCTTAGAAACACATAAATTGCATGGTGAGGTTGGGCCTGCCAGGAGAGGTGAGAGGGACACCTGGTTTTTTTAAAAGCAGGGACCAGGAGGAGGGGACGGTGGACAGAAAAGTTCCCCAGCGTGCGGAGGGGACCAAGACCTCCAAGAGGGAACGTGGAATTCAGACTCTCAAGCCCTTTGAGAGATCAGCTCTGTTTCCTTGCAACCAGCAGCACCACCATTGTTCTTCCAAATTGTTCCACCTGCAAGCTTTTTTTTTCCTCCAAAGGATAAATCAGAAAGAATTGATTATTCGGGAGAGGCTGATCTGCAAGGGAAGGTCCTGGGCTGTGATTTGACCTGGTAGCCCTCAGTGGCAATCAATAGTCATAATAGTAGGACTTACTTAGGAGAATCTCTTAAGAGCAGGTTCCCCAATGCCGGTCCTTGATCCAGGGCTATCCAGGGAGAGCAGAAGGGTCCCAGAGCACAAGGGTCATGGCTGCCTGGGGAATTCCGGGAGTTGAAGTCCACAGGTCTTAGTTGCCAAGGTTGGACATCCCTGAATTAAAGGGTTTGGCCTTCAATCATCAGGGAGCTGGCACCGCAGCCTAGGGACATCTTTCACATACTGGCTTGTACTGGAAGGCAAGGAGGGGCTGGTGGCCAGCCAGGTGTTGCTGAACATCAGCTTCCAGCAGACCTTGGCAAGGAATGCTGATTGGACCACCAGGTCTCCAGCTGCCCTGGCAATAGAGGGTGCCGATGCTGCAGGAGATTAATGCTTCATTGCTGGAATCTGGTTAGGGATTAACTTGTTCTGCAACATTTTTTCCTTATAAAATAACCAGATCTGTGAGCCCCCCACAGCCACCTGCCTTCCGCTTCCTGCGGTAGTGCCATCTCTCTCCCTGCAACCTCTCTTGCTTGGCCTGCCAGCCTGAGGATGCTCCTCTCTGTGTTCCTGGAGGGTGTCCACAGGACACACATCCCCCAGCCTGCAGACGCCTCTGATTCAGGAGAAGAAAAAGGGCTCATTTCAAGCCCCGTTGGCCAAGAGGTTGTGTGAATGCCAGAACGCTCTCTTGTCCCCCTCCTTGCCGTGCTACTTTCGCCTCTGAGCTTTGGGAACCTGCTCTAGCGCATCTGCCCCTTCCTAAAAAGCCCCCGTTTGCTCTGTTGAGTTGCCCCCTCCCATCTCTGGCCTTCTGGCCCTTCCAAGGGGTGAACTCAGGAGCCGGCCTTCCTTCCCGTTTTATTATTTTAAGGCAAAATTGGGCACTGCAGTTTCTGTCCTGTGAATCGTAAAGAAGGTTCCAGAACAGAAAACCCTGAAGGCGAGTGCCAATTAAAGCTTAACGCACACCTGCTTGATGAGGAAAAAAACAAAACTAATTTATTTTGGGTGTGTGTGTAAGCTGCTCTCGTATTGTATTCCAGTGAAATGTCTTGTTTTGTGAGCTTCATGCGCAGAAGCCAGAACCATCCCATTTTCAGGTTTACAGCGGCACGTCCAATAAAACCACCTCATTGGCGATGGTGCTTATTAATGGAGGTATTAATGGGTTCTGAGTGTTGGGTGATGCCCTTCCTTTCTGCTGAGAACAGCATTTCTCAACCCCCCCTCCCCCCACGTCTTGGAGCCGCTCGGTTTTCCTCTAATCCTTGTTTTTGGCTGCTGGTGGTCACCAGATGCTGGCGGTGCAAACACGAGTGCTTGGAGGACGGTGTGTCCAGGGTGGTGATCTCCCCAGAACCCCTGCAGCCTTATCTGGCCGCTCCCAAGGGCAGGCGGTCAGCCTGGCAAGATTCTTGTCACCGGGGGGGGGGGACAAGCAATGAAGCTTCTGCTTGAGACCATTCATAGGTGGTTCCAGTTGCTAGATGGGGCTCCAGTCTTTAGGCTGGGGAGGAACAGATCCCTGGTCGTTAGTAGTGATGGGGATCAAGTGGCTCTTCAGAGGTGCTGAGGTGGGCTGAAGACAGCAGGACGTGGCTGCACCACCTCCGTTCTTTGCTAAATCCTGGAGGAATCGGGCTTCTCCTCCCAGTCTGATCAAGCAAGGAGAAATGGGCTCTTTTTTTAATGGTCTGATTCTTGCTTGGGCATGGGCTCCTGCCGCTGAGATTTTGGGCAGGAGCCCCCAGAATTTCCACCCATGTCAAAGGACGCACTAGATTGGGATACGATAAGGGGACAAAGTGGGGCTGGGAGGTGGCCCAGTTCCCTTTCAATGATCTTGTGGCATGATACTTGCAGGTAAGTGCAGGTAAGGTAGCAGTTACCTAGGAACAGGTGGAAACCCTTGCGGTGGGAAAGAAAGTCTCTGATCTCCCCTCTGCCCTCACTAGGTGGGTTTACAAAGGGCCATCTGAGCCTCGGTTTCCCCGTCTCAGGATGTGGCCTGCCAACACTGCCCTACCTTGGAGGCCTCTAGGATTCACCACAACTCTGAAGATCTAAACTCTGTCACCTTCCCTCCAGGGAGGGGGGGGTCAGCTCACTGCAGCGAAATCCTCTTTTTGACGGTTGTTTACCTGATGGCCCCACAACCTGTTCTTGGCCATTTGTGGTGATTTGGACACGATGTTGGTTAGCAAGACAGGGATGACTTATTTAGGGGTTAGGCTGTTTACAGGAGATGAATTGCCTACCGTGGAAGTGACTCTTTTTAAAGTCTCACGTTGTTGGTGCAGAAATGGCAAAGGCCTTGGATAAATGAACTTGGCCTTCTTGTCCCACCCATGAAATGCGCAGGGATAAAAGCAGCTGAGGGGAGTTGGGGTGAAGCGCCTTTTCAGGTGATGATGGACGTGGAAGGTTAACCAGAAGATCAGGTCCTCTGGCGGCTGGTTGATTTGTCCATTTGCCCACCACATTCTACAGAGTTTTAGCTGGAACAAATATAGTTATGAATAACTATGAGGGACTGTCTTCACGTAGTTTTTTTCTTGATTTCTCTACATGCATAATTAGGCTTGATGACTAATAGTTGGATGTGTTTGCTTTTTCCTTGAGAAATCTTCTTTTTGTGGGGTTAATCCAGCAACAATGTGCACGTGGGAACTGGCCGTTCATGTCGAGAGAGTAGAAGGGGCTTGTGTAACTGTTGGCAAGGCTGTCTCGCCCACCAAAAATCCTAAATGGGAAGACCTACTCATGAGTAGAGGTGGAGAGCTGAGCCAAGGGACTTGTGTGACCCAGGACAGCTTGCCAGGCCACAGAGGGCAGAGAAGTATGTGGGAAGAAGCAGCTTTCAGGATCACAAGCCAGCAGCCCCTCAGTGAAAAGTCTCCCCTTGCTGACTTTAATGCTGGAAGGAGCAGAGGGACCGCGAGGAGCCCCATTTCTTCTCCAGTCTAACATGAAGCTACCTTTCTGTTCTTTCTTGCCCTTTGCAGGATGAGATGTCTACCTTTTTCCAGTTTGGGGCATCCATCCAACAGGAGGCCATCACCATGCTGAAGTTCATGCAATACTACGACTGGCACATATTCTCCGTGGTGACCAGCACTTTCCCTGGCTACCGGGACTTCATTGGCTTCGTCAAGTACACCGTGGAGAACAGTTTTGTCGGCTGGGACATGCAAAACGTGGTCACCCTCGATGCGGCCGTTGGAGATGCCAAGTCCACAATTCAGCTGAAGAAGATCCATTCTTCGGTCATCCTGCTCTATTGCTCTACAGATGAGGCCACATACATCCTGGAGGAAGCCCGTTCCCTGGGCCTGACGGGCTATGACTTTTTCTGGGTTGTCCCCAGCTTGGTCAGTGGGAACATGGAAACCCCACCTGACAATTTTCCTTCAGGGCTGATTTCAGTGGCCTATGATGGATGGGACTACAGTTTGGACGCTCGGATCCGGGATGGCCTTGGGATTATTACAACGGCCGCTGCAGCCATGCTGGAAAAATATTCCTTCATCCCTGAGGCGAAGACCAGTTGCTACGGGCAGTCAGAGTACAACGAACGCCCCTCTCACATGCTTCACAAGTAAGGCTTCCTTTTTCTTTAAAACTCTGGAAAATAAAATAGTTTTTGAGAGGTTGAGCAAAGCTTTCTCTGTGTCAACTCGGAACATGCTTCATCCATCTAGGGAAGCATTTGGAGAAGGCTGAAGGCGGAAGCAGTTGCCTCCAGTGGGTCAGCTCGGTCTGATATTGGCTGCAGTAGGGAGGAAGGGAACTAACCCAATTAGACTGGTTAATTTAGCCAGGAAAGATCCTGTGATCCTGTTCACAGCTGATTCAAGAGAGCTGGGGTGGCTGTGGGCAGCTCCTTCTTCCCAGGGACTTTGAGCCCATCAGACACTGGCAAGCAGAATACATTCAGGCTGCTTGTCTCATCTGCATGTTGCTGAAAAGCCAGATTTCATTTGTTAGGCCTTGAGCCAGGAGGAGATGACCCTGTAGCTGGTGATGTCACTGGATGCAGAAAGGGTGGCCTCACTTGGATAAATTGCTTTGAACTGACCTTTGCTGTCTGTCCCAGCCAGCACACACTGTCTTTCTGGGGGTGGGGCCCACCTTCTTGCCCATTTGTCTTGGTCAGTACTCATACCCTAAACCCTCCACAGACGCCGAACTGTCTGTCTTTGCCAGCAGCTCCATGCTGAAAACATCACATTAAGCGACATGAGTAGATACCAGAGCTCAGGGCTCTTTGGCCAGGCTGTCTCAGTGGAGCAAGGAGGGTGGCTTTAAGAAGGGGAGGGCTTAGATCCGAGAAGGGTCATATTAATATTCAGAAGCCATCCCGCCGGAATCCTGGAGATGTAGCCACCAACCTTGGCTGTTGTAACCTGAATACAAATAAGATGTTGGAAAAACAGTTCTCACTACTAAAACTATTATGAGGACAGAGTTGTCGTTATTTGTATATTTCCTTTTTTAATGGCCAGTGACTTTTTTCCCTCTTGATGTTGGGGATCTTCTTTGTGACTGTAGATGAAGCCCAGAAGTGGCCCATCCAGAAGGGAAAATGTCTCTGCAGATACGAAATAAACATGGAGGAACAATTGTTTGGCGAACGGCTGTCTTCGCGGTGTTTGTGCTGATGCAGGTCCCTATCCTCCTAAATCCCTCTCCCCTTTTCTCAGGGGGCACTTCTCAGCAGCCTCTCGCCTTCATCTCTGCAAGGGCTGGATATTGATCATACTTTTCTCAAATGTTGTCCGCTTTTGGCAACTCAAATCATGAATATGGATACAATCACCCATGGACTGGCACCGATAGTTTAGCAGCCAGAAGGCCAGAGAATCACTTTAGAAGTCAGGGAAAGCTGAATCTTTCCTCCTGTGCAGGGGCTCCCGCCTTCCATGAAAGACCCGTCTATCCACAGCAAAGCCTTGAGCCTTCTATTGCCACGATCACATCCTTTTGTTCTAAGGGTGGGGAGTCACTGGCTGGACTCCCAGCCCATTCCTAACACTCTCCCAATCTGGCCACTTCTTGAGGTCTTCTCCAGCTCTGGTTAGCAGCCATCAAGAAAGAAGGCAGCTCACTGGGGAGCTGTCCATGGTGCTGCCAGCAGCAGCGGAATCCCCTGATGCAGCTGCCGTTTCTCCCTCAGGAGCCACGCTCCTTGGTGCTCCTTGGCCAACTCCTCCACCCTTCCTGATGGCCCTCAGAGTCACGTAGCTGTCTCGCCTTGTCACCCCATCCAACTTTAGTTTTGGAGTGTGAAGGCCTGCAGGCGGAAGAAGGATACTTATAGACTTGGATGATGTCACTTGACCCCCCCCCCCCAATCCTGCTTAAGGGGTTTCTGAAAGCCCCAGGGCCACCATGTCTCTCTGAGCCCCACTCCATCCTGTTCTTGCTGCTGTCAATGCAGCATTTTTTCTTATCGCTTCTGTGCCCATTGAAGCCATGGCCTTGCAAGAGAGAGATGATGAAGCAGCTGCATGTCATTCCTGGGATGCTGTCACCTTTATTAACTGTTACCAGCCTGCACAGCCCTTTACACACAAAGCACCTCCTTTAAATGGAAGAGTCTCCCATTTGCACATTGTACTGTCAGACACTCCCTGCAGCCTAAAAGCACAGGAAGGCAGGCAAGGAGCCCAGAAGCCACAGCCAGGAAGAGGGTGGGCTGACTCTTCTGCTCTGCTCTCGCTTGGCTATGGGCTTAAAGCACCAGCTTCTAAATTATCCGGGAGCTTCCAAAGACTTTACGGGAAGGCAATTTGGAAGGGGAGGAAGTTCTGAATTAAGGGCAGAGAAATGGGAGGGGGAGAGCCTTTTAGGGATCAGGAGAGATTCAGAGGGCGGAAGGTGCTTGAGTCTTCCAGCGTAGAGCATTCACCACGGCCAACTTGCCACGGGACAAGAGTTATAGAAATATCACATGATGGAATAGAATCATTAAAGAAAGGATGCAAAAGGAAGGATAGAATGAAATGTGAATGACAAAAATTAAAATAATTTATTTATTTTAAATAATTAAATTGAATTGTTAAATTGTCCTGTGGCAGGTTGTCCCACAGTTAGTTGGCTGTGGTGAGCATTATGAAGAGGAGGAACATTTGGACCAGAACAGGCAGGCCTGGTGGAAGACATCCTGCACGAAGGGGGGAACCTGGAAATATTTTCCCTTCTGGTGTTTGGGTTTTTCCTCGCCAATGTATTCTTAATGCCACTGACAGAGATTTACATAATTCCTCTTTCTCGTGCATTCCTGAATCAAGGGTGGTGTGGAGCCCCGATGGGCATGGATGCCCCCCCCAGGTTAGGTTCGTTGCTTCGTCCGGATCGGTTTTGTCCCACTTTCCTTTCCGCTCGGCAAGTGCTCAGGATGTCAGGAAATGGTTAGAAGTTACAAGCATGAATTAAAATGATGATTAAAATCAATTGAGTGTTAAACGCCTGGTGGAAGAGATGCGTCTTTGCAGAGTGAAGGGGGAAGGAGCAGGCAATGCCTGTGAATGTGGGTGTTTTTGTGTGTGTTCCGCATCCTGGGAGCAAAGCAATAGAGCCTTCTTGCAAGTGTGAGACAGGTGTAAGACCCCTGCAGACCTTTTGAGGCAGGAATTGTGGGATCCACCTGCCTTCAGGCTGGCTGGCAGCCTAGTCTGCTGCATTCTGCATCGGTTGTCGCTTCTGGGGCCTCCCCAGTTCGAGCGTGTTGCAATAATCAAGATGGGATCGTGCAATCCAGCACGCCCAGTTTATTGCATGCGTCTTGTGATTAAGCCGCCCTTTGCTCACTGCAGTCCTCTAGCGGGCTCCAGGAGGGGGGCGAGCAGCGGGATTCCTCTAGAGGAGGCTTAGCCCCTCAAACGTTCTGCCCCTCCAGCGAAAGCAAGTGGTGTTCACACTGAATTTCTCGCTTGCATCTTGACTGCCGTGGCAATAATTGTGAGGATGATCGTTGTGACGTGCACCCTGCACCAGAGTATATTGCACACAGCCACACGCAGTTGTAATGTAGTGTGTTGACTGCCCTGCCCAAGTGGGGCTTTCAGGCTGGTGCTCCAAAGGTGAGGTTTCACTGCAATGGCCTCGTTCCCCATTTCTCCTGTCCTTATTTTATCTTGTTGTGTATTTTATCCCCGGGTCGATCATTTTTCACGGGTTCTGGTGGCAGATGCAGTCCCCCAGGATCTGAAGGCCAGACCGGACCTTTGAATTGGGCCGAGCGTTTGCAGGCTGCACTCTCTGCCTTCCAGGGAGGGCTCTGGCCGAGCCTCGGCAGGACGGCCGGTTTCCAGCCAAGAAGCTGGCATGGGCTGGAGAGGACTCCCCCTCCCTCCCTCCCTCCCCCCCCCGCCAGTCCCGTTTTTTCCACTATTTTCATAGCTGGCCACAAGGTGTCCCCCTTGCGTTGCCCAACTGCCTATGAAATAAGCCCCCTTCTAATAATTGCATTAAGGATTTATGAGCAAGGCTAGCATTTTTTTTCTAAATGATTCAGTCCCCCTATCTGATGTCCCTCCCCAAGACAGGCTGAACGTGTCTGTGTGGCCAACTCTCCAGCAGCCGCCTTGCAACCCTCAAAGGGGACCCAGCAGCCCTGGGCCAAGTCAGCTGCCCAGCCACTGCATCCCACGAGATTTTTTTTTTCTTTTGAAAGGATGTGTTTGGGGAAATTCACCCCTTCTTAAAAGTCCATTTAAAAGTGGACTTCGGTTTGCCAGCCCTCCCTGGAAATGCCGCAGGTTGGACCTAGGATCTGGCTCTGGAGTTCCTCTGGCCATTGGCCAAAGGCAACTGCTTCCCATCAGGGACTCTCACGCCCAGTCCTGAAGGTGCCCAGGCAGCAAAGGGATAAACGGGGCCGAGCGTCTGGTCACCTAAGGGCGACTGCAGCCTTTCCTTCATGGGCATCTAAAGCTTGGCCCCTCTTCCAGTCAGGGTCTCCCACCTCCTTCGCGTCTTCGGCCATAAAATCCCCCTCGTCACTTCTAGCTCCACCCTTGGATAGGAAGTAAATGTCGCTGCCCTCTTAGTGGGACTAATTGCCAGGCGTCCGTATGATGGGTTGGATCCTGGCTCCTAAAAAATGGGTTTTTCACAACAAAGAGAGGATTTATAGCATATGTTTCATCAGAGTTAATCCAGTGACTGAATTAGCTTTCTCATTAACAGCTGGACAGCTCATTAATTTCTCTTTGAACATTTCCTTTCTTTCAAGGTTTATGATGAACGTGACCTGGAAAGGCCGAGACTTATCCTTCACTACGGACGGCTACCAAGCACAGCCGCGGCTCGTGGTCACCGTCCTCAACCAGACCCGGGCCTGGGAGAAGGTAACCCATGTCCACCAGGGGAGGTCTGGGTCAGCTGGGTCAGCAGAGAGAGGAGGGGATGGCCAGCACTTTCACTCAGGCAACAAAAGAGTGTTTGTGTTTGTGTGTGCAGCTGGCTTCAAAGTTTGCTTCCTTTGTTCAGGTGTGCCTTTCCCCTCCCGAGGACGGTTGGTGCGGCAAATGCTTGATTAAAAGCTGCAGTTATACCTAAAGCGCTCCTCTCTTTCTCGAGAGAGGTGGGACCCTCCCTTTGGACATCCAGAGAACCCCGAAATGGAACCACGAGGGTCTCAGAGACAGGAAAAGCTCACGGGATCTGCGATCCCGCAGAGCTGCTGGGAGGCAGAGTCTGCAGTGCTGACACAGGGAGAGCAAGACTGGATCTCCATCCAGCCAGCTGTGCAGAGGACTTCTGAAGCCCCCTGGTTCAGTGGTGGCAGGTGGGCTTGGCCTGCAGCTTCCAGACCCTTCTTTTCAAAGAGCTTCCACTGCCTCCCACCTGGGAGAAATCTGACTAATCAAGGCAGATGGGGCTGGATTGGTTGAGAGAGGCTAGGCTAGTCCTAACTCCGGGAACGAGTTTAAAAAAAGGGGGGTGCCAATGGGCATCGGGTTGATGCAGGCTGACTTCCCTGCCTGGAGAATTAGTTTAAATAGAGGCGTGATACACCTCATACTAGTGGGGAAAAGCCACCTCTTTTTAGGGTTCTTCATCTTTAATCTGGCGTAGGGTTGGCAAACTTTTCAAATAGAAATTGGGGACCCTCCTGTGGAGGTGAGGAATACCTGCTCTGGTGTAAAGTAATGCCAGGCCTACATGGTAGACCAGGCTAAGAAACCAATGCTATGTAGCTACTCTTATTGTAAAGCTATAGTAAGAGAATCTGAATGCCTTTCACCCTGTCTCCCCTTTTCTTTATGTGAACTAAGGAGGGGCTTGTCTGAGATTTCCACTCACGTTGCATCCATGGCCTGGACTCAGATAACCCTTTCCTGGCCAAGTCCCCCAGAGGCTGCGCCTTCCCTCCTGCAAGGCCCTTCCCTCCACCCTCTGCCGCCTTCTTACTTTCTGATGATTTCATATCGAATTTTCTTCCAGTGGAGCAGAACAAGGGTGCACCGTAAAAAAAAAAAAACACTTCCACATATAGGTAAAAGAATTGCAAAGATCATTTTAAAGAGTTCCCCCTAAAATGGTCTTTCTACAACTGGAAGCAGCCATTTGTAGCTATCACGCGCCTTCGCCGAAAAGTAATTAAAATAAATGCTGCATGTGGCTTAGTAGGAAACACATTGTCTAGCTTTTTTGCCTATTAAACAATGCATTGACTAAACATTGCCATTTAATTACAATTAATAATTATTTTAATGCTGGAGCTGATGGAAATGTTACCTGGCTATTTGAAGTGTGTCTGGATGTGTGATGGATTATTCTGAAGCTCCATAACAAGGAAGGTTGGGTGGGTGTGTGCAGCCTCTTGCCTCCTGCTGTAGCCCCATACCACCTCAGGCTTCTGTTCTTGAACACGTGGCATTGTCAAATGTGTGTGTGTGTGTGTGTGTGTGTGTGTGTGTGTTTGTATTTATATGTGTGTGTGTGTGTGTGTGTATCTATTTGCATATTGCAAACTGGAGACCTGTAGGGGTCTGTCTGGGTCATAGTTTCTGGCTGGGCAGCCAAGCAAAGACCCAAATTGTCGTCCGAGGTTACTGGATTTAAAGCTGTGAGCATTTTGTCCTGGAAAGACACTTTGACATCTTGATGGTGGCCCTGACTCCAGCAAGAATTCCTGGTCGATACCTGAGCTGTGCCTCAGAAAATTCACCCGTGCAGCCTGCTGCCTGTGCCGCCACAACCTGTAAAAAAAGCAGCCCCCCTTTTTAGCTGGATTTGTGGCTGTAACCAGGAGGGCAGCAGGCAGGGAAGCGGGGTGCTTCTGTGTCCCCCCCCCCTCCTCCAGCAGCTCTTTCCCCAACTTGGCCATGTCTCCTTGCCGGCCTGGAGAGAATGTCAAGATTTTCCATCAGGGCAGCATAAGGTCAGAGCGCTTTAATTCAGAGGCATCACAATTCCTGGCGCTATTAAGCTGAAGAGGTGGGGCTGGCAGGAAAGGTGGTCGGGGCACCCCCTGGCTGAATAGACCTAGAAGGGACGTGTTGTGAATTAAAGGGGCATTATCCCGGCATAATAAATGAGGAAATGAATCTGGATGCATCTTGTGGACAGATATCAGTAGACTGAGCACCAGTCCTGGGCAATCCTGTAAGGCAGCACAAACTACCCAGGCTTGTTCCTTGTGGAAAATGCTCAAAAATTTATTTTTTCTGCAAAGCAGCAGCTGCAAGGATGATAAAATACAGATCTTAAACAAAACCCAGGGACAAATAATCCCAGGATCCTAAGGGGCCTTCTGCCCACGCAACTCCCCCAACTCCAATGTCCCGCCCCTTCCTTTTTTCTCCCTGGAAGTGTGGCTGCCACTCAGCTGTGCCCACCTGTGCTTACTTGCCTGTGCTGGCTCCTCAGGTGGGCGAATGGGAGAACCAGACGCTGACGCACAAATACTCCGTGTGGCCGCGGTTCAACTCTTTCAATGACAGCGTCCCAGACCACAACCACCTCAGCATCGTCACCTTGGAGGAGGCTCCCTTCGTCATCGTGGAGGACATGGACCCTTTGACGGAGACCTGTGTGAAGAACACAGTGCCTTGCCGGAAATACGTCGTCATCAAGTAAGCCCAGGGGTCTCTGGCCCTTGCTGAGCCCGAAGCCCCTCCCTTTCCCAGGGAGCCGCGTCTGGGAAGGTCTTGAGAAGCCGGCGGGGGCCCAGGTTGCAGATTCAGCCCTTTGCCCTTTATTTAGATGTGGGGCTGCCCTGCCCCCTCAATAGAGGATCCCCTGTCCCTCTTACAAGGCGAAGGCTGGCCTTTCCGTGGCCCCGTGGCAGGTCCGTGGCAGGAGTCGGACAGGCCTTTTTCCGGAAGCTTTTTCAATTTCCTTTTAATTTTCTGGGGGTGGCCTCCTTAGGCTGTCAAGGCCAGTCAAAGCTGACCAAGAGTTGCCGCCCACCTGGGTGTGCAGCAAGAGCTGTTGTTACACATGCTTTCTTCCTCCGTCTACTCGGCCCTTCTTTAAAGCGAAAGGAAGGAATGGAGAGGGAGGGGGAGAAGAAGAAAGAAAGGATGATCTTTGTGCCTGTCTCCTCAGCAACATCACCAAAGAAGGAAAGAACCTGAAGAAATGTTGCAAAGGGTTTTGCATTGACATCCTGAAGAAGCTCTCAAGGACCATCCAGTTCACCTATGACCTCTATCTTGTGATCAATGGGAAGCACGGGAAAAAGATCAACAACGAGTGGAATGGAATGATCGGGGAGGTGAGTTCTGCGGCTTCAAACAGCTCTCTCCGCTGGGCCAAACGCTCCCTACTTTTTCCTGGGCGTGAGCTGGAGCTTCCCCCATCCCCTCTTTTCTCTTTGCCAACAGGTGGTCAAGAAGCAAGCCGTGATGGCGGTTGGGTCCCTCACCATCAATGGCGAGCGCTCAGAGGTGGTTGATTTTTCGGTGCCCTTTGTGGAAACTGGAATCAGTGTCATGGTCTCCCGGAGCAACGGCACCGTTTCTCCCTCTGCTTTTTTAGGTGAGTTTCCTTCCTTCCTTCCTTCCTTCCTTCCTTCCTTCCTTCCTTCCTTCCTTCCTTCCTTCCTTCCTTCCTTCCTTCCTTCCTTCCTCCCTCCCTCCCTCCCTCCCTCCCTCCCTCCCTCCCTCCCTCCCTCCCTCCCTCCCTCGGGCCCAATGAAGCAGGGTTTTCCTTCTCTTCAGGGCTGGTTTTTGGAACCCAGGTGCTTTGCTCAGGCTGTGCTCAGCCTCAGGCTGGAGCCCCACTTTCCACTGGCATCTCCCGTGAGCTCCACAGGCCCAGCTCCTTCCTACAGGAGAGGCCAAGGAGGCAGAGGAGCTGGGTTGCTTGGTTCCTTTCTCTAGGTCAGCCTTGCCTGCCCTAGGCTGAACTTGGGCAGAGAACCTCTGTTCAGAGGTGTCCTAATGATGTAGCCTCTGAGCCAGCAAACTACCCGCCTCTTTCTCCCTGCTCTGATCACAGGCACCCCGTGGTGGGCTTGTGGAGCTGCCGCTGAGCCCAGCAGCCCCTTCCCTGAAGTTGCTTGGCAGGGCGGGAGGGGCGGATGCCTCCGGCTGCATTGGCCTTCTGGGCCCACTGGAGCTTTTGCCCCCATGTCTGCCGCTCACCAACCTGCATTGCGGCTCAGCCAACATGGTTGCGTTGAGAGATGAGCAGCTGCCACTTGGCTTGTGCGGAGGGAGGGGACAGGGACTGGTGGGGGTGGGGAGGGGGGAGGTTGGCAGCTGGGGGTCTCGCATCATTGTTCCTGCTGCAGACAGGCTGCTCCACCGGGCGCGCTTCTCATTCCAGAGCCCTTCAGCGCGTCTGTCTGGGTGATGATGTTCGTCATGCTGCTGGTCGTGTCAGCCATCGCCGTCTTTGTCTTTGAGTACTTCAGCCCGGTGGGCTACAACCGCAACCTGGCCCAGGGGAAAGGTAGTGCATTTCTGTCCCCCCCCCAAGAGTCCTTGTTCAGCCAGTGGGCGCTGCCCCTCTGTACCCCCCTCAACCAGGGGAAGCAGCCACGGGAGGTGACCCAGGTCAGCCTCTCTCCCTGACTTGGCGACCATGGATCACTCGGGGACTCTGCCCAACCTGGCCTTGGGGGGGGGGCTGGGAAAGGTGTGCCCCATGTGGGAGGCTGGGGCAGGTCTTCCCGACATCCTTCACCGTGCGCTGTGCCAGCCCTGTCACAGCAGCGTGTGGAAGTGGCAGGATCTCCGTCTTTGAGCCAGGAAGAAAAGGAGTCGTTTTTAGTGGATCCTCCAGATTCAAGAACAGTCTGGAGGGGATGGACTTCTGGCCCAAGCCCAGCTGCCCTCTTCCTGCCTGCTGACCCTTGGAGTAGCTTTTTGGGTGAGGCAGGCCGGTGCCTTGTGGGCACAGGGCCTCATCAGCAGCAAGCCCTCCCAGGGGGATATGGGCCATGCCAGCTGGGCTCCTGGTCCAGCCGCTGTACAGGGCATCTCCCCCCTTGCCAGATCGCTTGAGCGCACATCACAGCCGCGTGTGACACCCTTCTGGGCGGGTGCGGCTCCGGTTTCCTTTCCGTGCTGCGATGACCCAGGATAGGGCTCAGCAACAGGAATTCTGTTCCCAGTTGTCCTCACAAGCGAAAGGACTGTGCTAAAGAGCAAAGAAAGAGAGCTGAAAATGGTTGGGCAGTTGTGTTGCGTGTGTGGAGCGACCCCTAAGCTGACACATCTCCTCTCGCCTCCTTCGTCCCACCAGATGCTCACGGGCCCTCCTTCACCATCGGGAAGGCCGTGTGGCTCCTGTGGGGCCTGGTGTTCAACAACTCTGTGCCGGTGCAGAACCCGAAAGGCACAACCAGCAAAATCATGGTCTCGGTCTGGGCCTTTTTTGCGGTCATCTTCTTGGCCAGCTACACAGCCAACCTGGCTGCCTTCATGATCCAGGAGGAATTTGTGGACCAAGTCACGGGGCTGAGCGATAAGAAGGTCAGTGGGATGGCTTCTCTTTTCTCCAACCCACCAGACATTCGGCTGCGTTTGAAACCAGGACGAAATCAGCAGAAACATTTGTAGGCCTGCACACACCTCTTCCCCTAATCCGTGCCCTTTGCACACTTTTTCTGATGCACGTATTCCTGTTAGCAGGTCCTTCCCCCTTGATGTTGGCTTTTGCACACGTCTCCTTCTCATTAGTGTATTTTTCTGGCCTACGTGCCTCTGGTATGTGCTGTTTTGTGTCTTGTGGCTGCTGCAAACTGCTTTGCAAAATTCTGGATAGTTCAGGTGAACTTATATGATTCTTATAGAAGTCTGGGAATGAACAAGGCTTGGATCAATAAGCTAATTGGATGCCTTTCTCCTCTTTCAGATGCACTCAAACACGTGGGGGGTGGGGTGGAGGATGGTCTGACTGGTCAAGGCAGCATTTCTGAGGCTGCAGCAACAAGGCAGGCCAGGCAGGAAGGCGTGTGTGCAAGGGGGGGGGGGTCTTCTTGGACTTCTCCTGAGTTGGGGTCTGCTCTTCCCTGGATGCTGCTGGCAAGTCTGGTGCCCCTCCATGCCAGCCAGGCTGAGGGGGCAACTGCAGTCTTGGGAGACGCGGGAACTGTGATGTCTTCTCCCCCCCCCCCAGTTCCAGCAGCCCTACGCCTACTCCCCTCCTTTCCGGTTTGGGACTGTCCCCAACGGGAGCACCGAGAGGAACATCCGCAACAACTACAAGGAGATGCACGCTTACATGGTGAAGTACAACCAGAAGGGAGTGGAGGACGCTTTGGTCAGCTTGAAAACCGGGTAGGTGGAGAACTTGAGCCCCCCCCAGCACCCAAATGGGCCTGGTCTCTACAGCCCCAGCCGCCCCTTGCCAGGGAGTCCCCCCCCCAACCTCCTCGTGCTCTGGTGATCCCCAGGTCTCTGCCGCCTCTGCTGATGGATGCTGCCTGCAGCTGACGGTGCAAATCGCCTGTCATGTCCCATGATTTCGTGGTCAATGTGCCACCGCTTTGGCTGTCGGCTCCAGAGCATTCGGCGGTTGCTCCCGAGGGGGGGAGGGGGGGAGGGAGGGAGCGGCAAAGAGCCGCTCTGAGGAGTGGGCAGAGAAGCCCCACGTTTCAAACATCTGACTGCATTATCCTTTAAAATCTCAAGTTTGGCAGACAAAGCAATGCCAGGAGGAGCCGATGGGTTGACGTTCACACATCTTCCAGCTTCCAAGGTTGAGAAACGTTTGCTTTAGGGAGTTTTTCTCTCGTCCGAGACCATCATCCTGAGCTGACGAGACAAACAGGGTGGAAGAGAAACTCTTTCTCCTGGGGGGGCTCCCAGCAACTGGCCCTTGAACAGCTGCAGCCCCTTGTGTCCTGCTTCACAGTGCTTTAGAGCCCCTCTCTAAGCGGTCTGCAGTCAGCCTATTTGCCCCTGACAGTCTGGCTCCTCATTTTTGCCCCCGACAATCTGGCTCCTCGTTTTACCAATCTTGGAAGGACGGAAGACAGAGTCAACCTTGAGCCGGTCAGAATCGAGCTGTTGGCCGTGGGAATGCAGAATAGCCTGCAATACTGCATTCTAACCTCTGTGCTACAAGGGCTCTGACAGATAGACTGCCTCTGGTCCTGGAGGTTTCATTAAAGGGCCACAATCCCTCCAGCTTAGAGCTCTAGTCCTGAATTCAGCCAACAAATACCCCTTTCCCTTACCGAAAGCTGCCGGGCATCCCTGCCGCCTTATTCCCGGTTCAGCCAAGGGAAGGACGGGACACATCCTGCCTCTTTTCTGGGACTTCGGAGGGGGGAATCTCTGCCTGTTTCCCCCTCCTCACCCCATTGTGGAAATTCACGTTGGTGTTTTATTCTCTGTCAAGTGTTGCGAAGGGCGTGATGAATGTTCCCTCGCTGAAAAATGACGCTCTACACAACTGACAACGCACTGTCTATTTTGAGTTACGGATGCAGTAACTGAAAGCTGCGTGTCCGGAGGAGGAAGCAGCCGCATCACAGCCTGAGGGGGGGCGGTTGCGGGGGGAGGGGGGGGAAGGTGGCAACCCTGTCTGGCCAATGGGGAGTTGGCCACTCTGGGAAAAGCTTGTGGGAGGGAGTGTTTTATTGAATGCCATGGACATCTAGCATTGCACGCTTTAGTTATTATTCCTAAAAGTAATTGTAAATCACGTCTGGCCCAGCTGGAGCAAAAACAAGAAGAAATAAGGTAATAAAATCACCCCAGAGCAGAGAGCGAGGCCAGCCGTGTTTTCAACAAGGCGATGAATGGCTGCAGTTGAGCCCAAGTCTGATCAAGCAAGATCAGGGTGCTAATTAATGGAAATTTCCCATCCTTCCCCCCATCTCATGACTCACCTTGTGCACAGCCTGGATTTAAAAGCAAAGACCCCCATAATGTATCTTCCCCCCCCCACCTAGCGGATGGCCATCGATCAAAGTACTATTTTTATGGCGTTGCCTGAAACTCGAAGGGATCCTGGGACTTCCGTTCAAAAGCAGCAACGGGAGTGGAAAAGCCCCAGCAGCAAGAAGAGGATGATGGTGCGTCCCCATTTAGAGACCCCAATTGAGACTGGCAACTCTGCTGTTAAGTGAAAAGGTCACTAAGCGAATCCGCAATTGTGTTTGCCGCCTTCCTTCCACTTTGCTTTGCAGACCTGCAAAGGTCATCAAGGCAAGGACGGGTCGCAAAGTGACTTTTTCATCTCCATTTGTAACTGCTAAATGTTGCTAAACAAGGCAGTCGCTAAATGAGGACTCTCTGTGGCAGAGGCAGCTTGCTTTCTCCCCCCTGATCTCTTTGGGTGCAGGAGAACCAAAACCAGCCCCACCGGGTCAGCCTGGGCTGGGCTGGGCTGCAGCTGGGAACGGCACCATTCAATGCCGCAAACACTGCTGGGTGGGATCAGGAGCCGTCATTCATCACCTGTGGTAACTAGGAGAGCCCCCCCCCCAGCATCATCTGCTCCATTGTGTTAGATCAACGGATGAGGCACAGGAAAAGCCCCTGGGGGGCAAGATAGATTGCAGAAGGATTCTTCTGGCCATATTTATAGACCACAGAAGCTGCGCTCTTGTGCTTCTCAAGAATCCGGCCTCGGCTTCTGCTGCAGCGTGACGGGCTCTGTCCCCCAAAGAAGCAAAGCCCTGTGCTGGGGAGGATGGAGGGGGCCTCAAGATTGCCTCAGGACTGGGCTGCTGCCGTTTGGTGCATTGGTTGCCATGTTTTATCACGTGTTCTGATTGCTCATAATTTTGCCAGTGAATTTAGTGGGTCGTAGGCTGATTACTTTGGAGAAACCGACCTCAGAAGGGCAGCATGCAGTTTTTGCAAAACCCTCAAGATCAGAGAAAAACAGCCCTCAAATGTTCATACTAGATTATACCAGCCCTGTTTCATCCTGAGGCTCTTCACTGAAAGTCAGGCTCTGTGCATGTCCAGAGCTGTTTTATGGTCAGCCTGGATTGTCACAACATCCATTGGAGGAGGGATTTCTGGAGGTCCTCCCTCTGGCCACTGGTCAGGCCAAGCCTGGGTAGTTTTTCTGGATGGGCCAGGATAAGGAATTTAAAAGAACTTCACAATTGGAAAGGAAATGTTTTAATTGAAGAGAAGGCAGAAAGGAGATGGTGAAAGAGGAGAATGAATGAAGGAATGAAGAGAGGGAGGGAGGGAGGGAGGCTGGAGGAGGAGAGGGGAGAGGGTGGTGATGATAGGATGGCTCAATACAGACTGAGAGAGAAAGGAGGACATTATTCTCGTCCCCTGCTCCTCTGGCCTTCAGCACCCTGGAGCAGCTCTGCTGAAGGAAGGAGTGGAGTTCCGGGCATGCAGGCTCAGCCTTGCTTTCCAAGACTGGCATTTGTCCACATCTGAAGGAGTGGAGACCCAGAAGTGGGACCTTGCCCCACAGGAAAGCAGCTGTATGGGGGAGGGGGACTCATCAGGGACCAGGGATTCCCCCAAAGGCCTGGGGCTTTGCTGGGCTGGGGGCTTTTGCCCTCTTGGGGGTCATGGCCCCTCTTCCTGAACCTGTAGGACAAACCTCAAGGGATGGGCCTGGGTCAATCAACCAGTTTGAAAAGCGGTGCAGTGACTCTGGGTTGTGTTGTGCGTCAGAGTGGCTTGTGCCTCTGTTCTCTCTCTGCCTCTCTCTTCACGCAGAGAGTTAAGGGAGGCAGGCGGTCCCCGAACTCTTCTTCTCCAGCCCCTGAGGGACTGCCAGCCATGGGTCAAGGCACGGGATGTGGCCCACAGCCATCGGCCCTCTTTCTGTCCAGCAGTTGAGCTCCCGGTCCTTGTATTCCAGGAAGCTGGACGCTTTCATCTATGACGCAGCAGTGCTGAACTACAAGGCCGGGCGGGACGAAGGCTGCAAGCTGGTGACCATCGGCAGCGGCTACATCTTTGCCACCACGGGCTATGGCATCGCCCTGCAGAAGGGGTCGCCCTGGAAGAGGGCCATTGACCTGGCGCTGCTACAGTTTGTGGGAGACGGTGAGTGGCAGCATGGCCTCCCTGCCAGCCGCTCCTCGAAGGAGGCTCCTTCTTGGGAGTCTGGAGAAGGAAGGCGGTCTCTGCATGATGCCACGTTCCCTCGGTTGAGGTGACTGTGGTTAAGATGGCTTGAAAGAACTGGGCAAATCTAGAAAGCCCCTAGCCCAGGGGGATGGAGCCTGGAAATTTACAAGAACCCGACCCTTCCTCCAATTTCATCCCCCCCCCTGCATTGCAACATCCCACTTAGTTTCTAAGCATGGACAAGATCAGGAATTGAGGAGTTTGAATTGTTCTGATGGGAACAGCAAATAAGAACATTCTTTTGAGAGTTCTACAAAGTCAAGGAAAAGAGAAGCAGCAGGATTTTTAATTTCCTTGCACTTACTTTTGCTCTCTGCCCAGATACTCTTTCTTAATTTGACCCTGTCTCTCGAGGGGGCATTTTGGCTCTCTCCGACTCGGGGAGTGGGAGCTGGGGAGCAGGCCTCCCATTCCCCCCATCTGAAAATCGGTTTTTCTTGTCAGTTATTGAATAATCTTTTGCCTTGTTGCAAAGGGAGGGAATCCATCTTTTCTGTTTTTAACAGCTCCTTTTTTCTAGCTGAGAAATGACAGCAAAGCCACCGTCATCCTTTGTTTTAAAAAAAAGCAGAAAGAGGATAATATTTGGTTTCAGTACGCCCAGATTCTTTTTTTCCTTAATAACTGCACACATTCTAGCATTCCAGCTCAGTGGGGGGAATTTCCTTTGCGAGCCAAATTCTGCTTCTGGAGGGAGAGAGGTTTGGTGGTGACCAGATCGCCAAAAAATACCCTTGCGACTCAACGTCCTTCGTGGGCTGACCTTCGCCCTCACGTCCTCCCACTTTGGACCTCCGTCCCTCTCTGACCTCCACTGGCCTTTCTTTCCAGGGGAAATGGAGGAGCTGGAGACCCTCTGGCTGACCGGCATTTGCCACAATGAGAAGAACGAGGTCATGAGTAGCCAGCTGGACATCGACAACATGGCGGGCGTGTTTTACATGCTGGCCGCTGCCATGGCGCTCAGCCTGATCACCTTTGTGTGGGAGCACCTCTTTTACTGGAAGCTCCGGTTCTGTTTCACTGGGATGTGCTCCGATCGGCCAGGGCTGCTGTTCTCCATCAGCAGGGTGAGCACGGACACGGGTCACACCCAGGAACGGTCGGGTTTCCCTCTCCAGAGGAGGATGGGATGAGGACGCTATTAACAAGAATTTATCCGCCATGACTCCCAGCCACTCTGTGCAGCAAGGGAGCTCATCCTTACCAGTTACAAGTGAAATTGAAAGAATGGGCAAAACAGGAGGATTCAGGCACTCATATTTTTTTTTTCTTTTCTACAAAAGGGAGGTGTCTCAGCCAAGGTGTGGGGGGTATTGGGGAGGGTGGAAGGAGATGAGGAGGAGAGGCTTTTAAAGGCCAGCCCCGCTGGCCAACCCAGATTTTATTCCAGCACCCAAATCAGCCAGTTTATCACAAATGTTCATGTATTCAGCAGCCGATCACCTTGGGCAGATCTTCCCAATTAATTAGGCTGCTTCAGTAAGTGTAATTAGCATTCCGAATGAAGTTACTTGTCCCTGAGAATGCAAACCGATTGGGGTTTTTCTTTTTAACACTTTCACCAACGGATTTTTGCTTCCAAATAAGTTTGTTTAAATGCAAGTTGTTTAAACTTGCAGCAGTGTCTGGGTTGGTGTTCTTTAATTGGTTAATTGACTCTGCAGTTCTGTTCTTGTCAAAAATTATACAGAAATAATTGGATGGAACTACTCAGCCGTAGAGCGAATTATCCCAGAACAAGGAAGGAAGACTTCACTCAAGCAGAATACTCCTTTTCTCCTGGTTTGAGGAATTTCTTAGGATGTAGTTGGCAACTGCGTGGCGGGTGGGTTTACGGGTTCATCCCACCCGCTCAGTCCGGCCTCTGTTCAGAGAGGTGGCCAAACCACCAAAAAACCACCGTGGTTTGTTAGGAGCAGTTATGTAGCTATGTAGCTAGTTACTTCTGATTAGGTATTACTAATCAGAAATTCTTGAAGATGGATGATATGGGGGAACAGACCTTTTTCCATCTTTCCTCTGGACTCTCCATCTAATGGTAATTGATTTCCGTTGCTCTCTTGGTTTAATTATCATGATGGTTGTTGTGAGGAGTCAGTTTACTCTACGTTGAGCCCCCCTCAAAATGAAAGTTCTCTACCCAGCTTACAAGAATACAGTTTTCTCCCATGCTGTCTAAAAATCCAGGTATTAAATGTGCATTAAATTGACACAATCCTTTCAGTAATGCCACGTAGCAAGTGTTTTCCCCCCAGTTCCTCCAAAGAATTGGAGACTAAACTCAGCCTCTCTTCCCCATTGCTTCCCCTGCAGGGGATCTACAGTTGCATCCATGGGGTCCACATTGAGGAGAAGAAAAAGTCTCCCCACTTCACCCTGACCAGTTCTCAGAGCAACATGTTGAAGCTTCTGCAGACGGCCAAGAATATGACCAACGTGAATCCCGGGCGAATCAATTCTCCACAAAGAGCAGCTGAGTTCATCCGCCGTGGATCATTGATGATGGACCTGATGATGGAAAAGGGCAGCTTCATCTTCTCTGACAACAACCGCCCTCTGACCCCCAAGGAGAAGGTCTTTAGTGACAATACGAATGAGCTGCAGTCCTTCTCTGCAAACCGCCACCCAGATAATCTCAACAACTACATCTTCCAAGGGCCGCATCCCCTCACACTGCACGAGTCCAACCCGAACACGGTGGAGGTGACCATGGCAGCAGAGGCCAAGGAGAACTCCCGCCCGAGGCAGCTGTGGAGGAAGTCGCTGGAATCGCTGCGCCAAGACTCCCTCCGGCAGAGTCACGGTACTCAGAGGGACGATGGCACAGGGGGAAGCCGGCGGCACTCCCTGAAGGGCCCCAGGTACCTCCCTGAAGACGTCCACTCAGATGTCTCCGACTCCTCAAGCAGAGCCACCGGCCACACGGAGGGGGAGAGCAACAGCAAACCCCTTAAGACCAAGGACAACGTGAAGAAGAGGCCGGCATCAAAATATCCCAAGGATTGCAGCGAGGTGGAGCTGACCTATCTGAAGAGCAAACAGTCTTTACCCCGAGACAAAATTTACATCATCGAGGCAGACAAACAGCACAGTTTCCACCTAGATGTCCCCCCCGAGTATGTAGAGAACATTATCCTTCCTGAGTCAGCTGAGTTTTCCAACCTCTATCAGGATCGCAACGGCAACTACCGAGGGTCTGAGCAGAGTAACCAGGTTCCCCTGCCCAACGAGGAAAGTCTTCCAAGTAACGACCAGTACAAGCTCTACCCAAAGCACTACGGCACAAAAGACAAGAACGTGGCCTACGACGAAGCAAATGAGCAATACCAGCAGAAGGCCACCCACTGCCGGAGCTGCCTAACCAGCCTGCCCAGTTACGCAGGGCACTACTTGAGCCGGTCACCCTACCGGTGCGGTGCCTGCGTGCGGATGGGCAGCCTCTACGACATCGAGGAGGGCCAGATGCTGCAGAGCCCTGCCAACTCCAGGCCCCGGGAAGAACCGTGCCAGCAGGACTGGGCCCAGGAGGACAAAACCCAGCTGCCCCGGAAGAGCAAGCTGCAAATCAGCCGGCAGCGTTCGTTCGACAACCTCTTCAGTAAGCATCGGGACGGCAACGGGGGCAGGACGGCCCGTAGCATCAGCCTGAAGGAAAAAGAGAGGCTCCTGGAAGGGGGCCCCTACGCCACCCTATTCAGGGCGCCCCAAAGCAAACACTTGAGCGGCAAGCTCCCGCTTTTCACACGCACGTTGGACGACGGGAAGAGGATCAAGTCCCTGTATCTGGAGTGCTCGGAAGAGAACCCTTTTCTTCGTTCTTATTGCGATGACCAGCACTTGGTCCCGGCACCGAGTCCGGCCGGCCTGCACAGACAGCCGGCTTATGACAGCGTCTCCCGGTCGTCGGTTAAATCGACAGCCTCGTACTGTTCCAGAGATGGCCGGGTCCACAACGACGCGTGTGTTTCGGAGCACGGGATGCCTTACGTTGCCCCTCAGAATAGCACGTACTCTGCTCCACGAGGGCTAAACTCCTGCAGCAATAGACGTGTGTATTATAAGAAGATCCCTAGCCTGGAATCAGACGTGTAACGCTGATCTCTGGGGAGCCCGGTTGCCAGCCCCTCACAGGCCAAAGAGGGCAGCCCTTAGCAGAGCGTTGGAGAAGGGGGAAGAGTCCGGTTGCCTTGCGTAGATCACATTCCCATGTGCTTAGTTCCACCAGAAAGAAGGAGCAGGAAGAGGCCATGGGAAGGGACAGCCCACTCCCCAAGAGCCACTGCACGGACTACACTATCCATAGTTCTGTCTCCCCCCTCCCCCGTCAATTAAGTTTGGCACAAAAATCTCTTGCTCCCCTAGTAGAGTTCCAATTCTTGGTCCAAAGGAATAGCCATGCAAACGAAGGCTGATCTGTAGAGCAGATTTGCCCCCCCCCCCGGATGGTTTAAAGCAGGACACGAGTGGCCACCATGGATGGTCACTGAATTGGGAAAAAGCGGCGCCCCTTGTTGGCAACTATGTTATTTTTCTATCAGGATGGTTCTTTTACCCCGTCGGTTGGACTCCGTCCTTCTAGCACTTTCGCCCCGTGTAATTCTGCCCTCCCAAATTTTATTTTTTAACAGAGAATAAGCAATATGGTATGCATGTACTTTGACACAGAACAAAAGCTAAACAAAAAAAAAAAGTTTAAGAATGCATTTGCACACTTACTGTGGTAAGACTCATCCAAGAGATTAGAAAGATAGCCTTTTTTTAAACAAACAACTATATATCGCTATAGCTCTATGATTTAGCCTCATATTTATTTTTAAACACAGACAAAAGAAAGCAAAAAAACCCAACAAAACAAAAACCAAACCTCAGGGCCCATGAATGGAATCAATATTGTTTTCATCTGTATATGTCTTGCAGAAAGCCAGCTGCAATTCACCATGGACTCCTCCTCCTCCTCCTCCTCCTCCTGATCTCATGGCAAGGAAAGATTGCTGAAGCAGGTCACCGGCTCCACGCTGGAGCTTCAACTAGGAAGGGGAGGGGACTTGTCTCAGGAAAGGAGGGCCAGTGAACCCCCTCCTGCTCCTGTCTAAGAGAGCAGAGAGATCCTGAAGTGCAACTCCAGACCAGGATGGGGCAGAGGGTGGCCGGGTGAGAGGCCCCTGGGTCTTCTTGGACCTGCTGACAATCTGGAGGAGGCCCCGGTCTAGGCGTCCAGAGGCCCAGACAGGAACCAGGTGCTGGAAGGTCTTTGCTGCCTAAACCACCCTGCAGAGAGGATCCCAGTGGAGGTTCCGGAAGCGTGGGATTTACTCTCGTAATTATGCCAAAGTAAGAGCCAGTTGGGTATGCCCCCAAAATAAGCATGTGAGAACAGCTTCTCGGTTTAGACAACCCTCGATCTTTTGAGTGAGGCTAAGCATTGGTTTGCACATTTCAGTCCCCCTTGGTAACTCAGCCCCAACTTCATTCTACAGGACTTTCCTTGGCAAGGAAAAGAACAGGACACCCTTTGTCCAGTCGGATTCTCTGTGCTACACCACCAGGTGTAGTGGGATCAGGGCAGGGGAAAGGAAGTGGGGGTTGGCTGATATTTTGAGGAAGCTTTTGAGAGGGTAGGTGGTGATGAAGGTAGCCACCACACAAGGAGACTCGAGGTAGCCTTGTCCCAATTGCTGCGTTGGGTTCTGAGGCTCTAAAGCAAGAGGAGCTGTTCCTGGGAGATTGTCCCCTGATGGTGGAAGTCATGTCTGTTTGCTGTAGTTTTTGAAAAGATGGGCATTTTTGCACTTTAAGGATGGACCTGGATAGGAAGCCCGCCAGAGCTGATGTTACGGAAGCACTTGAGTCTCAAAGGAACCTTGTTGCTTTGGGAATGATAAGGGTGGATCCCAGTATGGTCAACAGCATCCAGGAAGAATGATTTCCCAGAGTGGAAGACCATATTTGCAATTAAAAGCAGGGTGATCAGCAACCGAGTGGTTTGGATCAAAATGTAGGAGGTTTTAGAATCCCTGCTTATAAATAATGTAGCTTCATCACGAAGCTGTCACCCTATGGTGTCCCTCCACCCCCTGCAGGACCAACCTTGTTATGGTCTGGATACCCCCTTGGGCCCTCTTCTTTTGCTGGTGAGACACATTTGGAGCAGAAACCAAAAACAAGAGGAGATGCTGGAACCCTCATTGGCCCAAGGCATTGGACCCTTTGGATGTTGGTTTCTGTGCCCCATCGATTTTCTCTTATTTCACAGCTCCTTCTGTAACCAAATTAGTTTGTTGGAACTGCGCTGCCCAACTTCACAGCTAGAAGGTCTTCATACCTGTGGAAGGATAGCATTTTTCAGTTTTGGTGTAGGGGGCAGATACATCTGCACAGCTGGTAGACCTCATAATCTAACTCAATACCTAAGGTTTTCACGTGTTTGCATCTCAATGGTGGTATCTCAGGGCTTAATAGTATCTGTCTTCTTGTCTCCTCACCTTGATTCAAAAGACACACAGACACAGGCACTTTCATTAAAATAGTTGCAACTTACAATGTTGGAGGAACTCCACCTTGAGTAACCATGCCCACTTCTTAATTCCCAGCACCAACAGCCATATGTACGGAATGGACTTCACTGGGAAGAGAGTGTTTCGTCTGCCAATAGCCTAGGAGCAGCTCTGTAATAATGACTTACTTTGTTTTCAGAATATCACCATCATCTGTCTGTATGTTTGGAACTTTCATTGACTTCTCTAAACTTGTTTATTTTAAATATGTAATATATGCACCTAACTTGCATAATTTAGTAACCTTGGAGTAGCAAGGAGAAGTTCACCCAAGTCTTCCTAAATTAGGGACCCACTCCAGGTTTGGTCTGTGGGTGGTTTTACACACTTGCGTTTGAGGCGACTGTATAAAACCTGCACTGTGAATACATGTCAGTTCAACGTGAAAAGCAGGAAGAGAAACGTGAACTAAATCTAAAGATTTCAGGCATCCATTTGCCCTCCTGCTGCAACTTCAGATGCAGGTGGGGGTTCTGGGATGTGTGGAAAAAACACGAGGCCTGAAGCACAGAAGAGGGGAGAGGTTGGGCTCCACGGCCTGAATGAGAACTGCCAGGGGAGGGTCCTGACCCGCTGCTCTTCAGCACCACTGCTGAAGACACAGGCCCAGCAGGACTCTCCTGCCCGGGCAGGGTCCAAGGTCCCTTCCAACTCCGTTATTTGGAGTCTCTCGCTGCAGGCAGCCTTGGGTCCCCCTCTTGGCCCAGGAGAATCGGTCAGTCCTCCTGGACACGTGGCCTTGCAGTTGGCTTTCTCTTCAAGGAAGGTCAGCGTTTCATTGAAGAACATTATTCTATAGATTTCTTTATTTACCAAATTTATATGGCCGCCCATCTCATGGAAAGTGTCTCTAGGCGGCATAAAACAGATAGATCATCTCAGGGTTGAAACAAAGACGTGGAAGGTTGGGAAGCTGCAGTTTTCATGTAGAAACGTCTGCAGTTCCAGAAAGCCATGTTTACATGTTTGTTGTTCTGTCCTGGGGGGCGGTGGTGAAGAAATGGGGTGACCCTCTTGAGCGAGGCAGACAGAGTCTGGTCCAACCTGCCACCATTTTCCAGGCTCTTGTTTCCAGCCTGGATTTCATCCTTTCAAACGATCCATCTTCTCTCAGGCTATCTAAAATCTTGTAGGTGGAATCTCTCCTGGTGAACTGTGATTGTGTATTCAGTCTAAATTTCAGTTCTTAAGAAAGAATCCGTGTAGGGCCTGGGGCAGAGAGTAAGCAGAATCCTCCTGATTCATCTGCTAAGCATGCCTGTCAAGATCTCCAGAATGTTCCTGGGTGACAGGATCTCCTTGGTCCCGAATCTTCAGTGAACAGGTCTTTTCAAAGAGAAATCTCCAGCGAGTGGCTTGGGAAAGAAAAACTGCATCCAGATCCTACTACATTGGTCTGCTGGAAGCACAGCTGGTTGGCTCAGATAACAGAAAAGCACCCGCCTTTTGAAAATCCAATAAATCTTCTCTTAGATAGTTGTAATATCCCCCCCCCCCACACCAAAGTTTCTTTCTAGGGCTTTTTACTGTTGCATCCTTGAGAGAATAATTCCTCAGAGGTGTTTGGATGTCAAATTGGTACATCACGCTACATAGGCAGAGAAATATCTAGCTAGCTCAGTGATAAATAGAGCATTTTGCAAATAGAGTGAGAAGTGCACATAACAATTGTTTCCCCCCCCCCCCAAAAAAAAGATTTGGGTAAAGTAGTGTGTGTAACTTAATACTCCATTGCGAATAAATGCAAGCCCAAGTTTTCTAGGGATTCAACAGAGACCCCAAAATGTGACCACTCCCCAGCCTAAAGGAGAAAGCATCTCCTAGGCAGAGTAGCCTAACCCTTCATACACAAAACTGTTGGTTACAAGTGTACTGCTAAGTGTGTTGAAAGTACAATTAAGGGTGATCATAATGCTTGGGCATCAGTGTCTATCAAGCCACTCTTCTCAGCTGGCACGCACCAGATGTGCGAGGCCTGGAGCTCTAAAAATACTAGGAGTCAGTTCCCCGCACATCTGGGGGAGGTGCTGGAGCTGGGAAGATTACAGAAGAGTTTACCATTTAGGAATACAATTTGCCTAGTGTGTATGATGGTGAAAAACCAGATCACAAAGAACTGAATGGGAAGCTGGTCAATTTACCATGTCATGTATAAACTTATAGTTGGATCAATTTAACCTAACATCACCACATTACAACAATTTCTGCGCTGAGTTGTTTTCTGTTGTTAATATTTGAAGGATGTGGACTTCTGGGCAATCTCTTTTGCACCTACCAAGTGGATTCTTCCAGGAGGTGCCCTCCTGAATTGATACACTCATGAATAACCAATTCATCCCCATGACATCCAAGTTGACCTATTGAGTTCTTTGGTGATTCTGTCCTGCACACCCTCTAAATTGTATGAAATAGATATGAAGACTCACTCCTATAGGCAGCTATGACTTCTTCTGTTTCGGTCTCTTTGGAACCCTGGATTCTGATGCATACTTGTCCCTTGGGAGTCCATTGTAATCCTCCTCAGTGCTTCTGGAGGTGCTTGCCCTACAGCTTGCTCAAAAGAAGCATTGAGCAGGCACGTCTCCTGGTGAGCATCCTTGTATGATATTCATGTATCCAAGCACCTGCTTGTTGCATTCATGTATTATGCATTTTAGATGTACATGCACACCAATGAAGGTGTTTAAATAGGAAGTTTTTATTGGACTCGCTTTACTAAAAGCTGGGAATTGATACGGCCGTCCTCCCTGGAGGCCACCTGGAAGGATTCATTACATGTCAAAATCTATACTTGGTATTGATGTCACCCAGCAGCTAACATACATTGTGTGAGTTGGCTATCAGAAGTGGATCATAAGCATTTTCAACACACAAAGTAATAGTTACAGGTTTTAAAACTCAACCATTTTCACGTATGCACCCACACTGAAAGGATTATGAATGAACAATCTGTCCATTCACAATTGTAGACATCTTTAAAAATCTTACATTGATAGTTGGATCTGCTGGTCTAAAACAGATACAGGATTCAGGTAAAATTTTGTTTGTTTCTCTGTTCTGTATACACTCAACGGCAGTTTTTATCTTCATCTGCATATTTAAACCCAAATGCATGATTAAGCACTTAATACTGTATAAATAATATTTTGAGACATATCTACAAAAACAAACCCACAAATGTTTGCTTTAAACTTTTGTTGATAGAAAAAAGTATATAATGACTACTATTGTCTTCAGATTGTATTGTATTTTTCATTTTTGTTAACGATAATGAAGAGAAGAGGAAGAAGAGAGAGGGAATGAGAGAAAGATGCTAAGGGAGTGATGGAACTGAGTGTTTGCCTATGTTGAAATGTACATACCTGTCAGAGAAAACACGTGCCAAGTATAACAAAATGTACAAAATGTAAATACATGAAAAATTTCATTTTTCTAATAAAGATGATTTCTGCCACTTGATATGAAAATAAGGGGGGATGGAGGGAAGGAGATCTCTGTCACTGCGTTTTTTCATTGTGGTTTTCTCCTTCTGTATTTCATTGCTTGAACCCCAAAATGCTTGAGGACGCTGGATCAGAAGTCCCAGTGGGCTCTGAGTGATGGGCTGGGCCAGCCTGAATATTTTCTGGATTGGTTCCATCATTTTCCCATCTTCTCAAAGCTTTACCTTGTTCATTAGAGTAGCAAGGAAGAATGTGCTGAGATCCTAAACATGTAAGGTTTATGTAAGTTAGCCTATAAAATCAGGGAGGTATGGGTCCTGCAAACCACGGGTCTTCCCCCATGAGCCCTGGAAAGGTACTTTCCAGTTCAAGGGCTTTGGGGAAGTGCTGGGAAGCCAGTAAGAGAAGGTCCAAAGGATGTTGGTAGCAGCGATGCCTCCAGCAGAGACGGGCGGCAGAGTTCTTAAGTCAGAGAAGGACGTCTGGCTGCTGCTGGCTGTGTGCTTTGGGGAAGTGTGGTGGCTTCACTGATCCAAGAGAACAGTAGGAAGGCCCACTGGTCAAGGGGAGAAGGAATGTCAGATGCTCCGAAATCTCAGATGTTGTGCAATTCTAAAACAATTTCACAAAAATAACAATAGATTCTAGTCAAAGGAGGGCTGATTTATTCTAAGATGTCCATAAAATGCATTTTCCATTGGTTCCTTTGCCTATGGAGATTCACAATCAACCAGGTCATGGTTCCCACAAAGATGCTTTTCCAAACGGCAACTGGACTTTCTTGGTTTTTTCCTTCAGTTCTTGGATGAGGAGTGAAATGTTTGAGACATTGATTCCTGTCTTCTTTCAGATGTTTCTCCAAAAAGTTTGGCCTCCCAAGATTTTTTGCTATTAATAGTTGTGTACATTGGGGTCTAATTAAATTCCACATTCACAAGAAGGACACAAGCTCCTTTTGGATTGTTTCTGCACTTGTTTGTGCAGGAAAAAATTCTGTTGGATATCCAGCTAGTCCAGATTTTCTGTGTCGCACTGTAGCAAACACTGGAATGACCTAAAAAGCAGCATTGCATCCCATCAGAGCAGACAGCCAAGTGTTTGCAGCAAATCTGAAATAAGGCTGAAAGTATTACTGGAGCAGATCTACATATAAAAAGCGACACCTTTCCTGCGTTTGTTTTTCATCCAAAGGAAACTTAGACCGTCACAAAGCCAAACAGATTTACAAAACAATTCACAGGCTGTTGGCTGAATTCATGATTACCAAAATAACATTTTGCAGAGAAGAGACAAAAAAGGACTAAATTTCCTCTCCAGCATGGAAAAAGGTGCTTTCCTTGCTGTGTTGATGCAACCCAATAAATCGTAATGAAATTTGTGGCTTAATTTGTGCAAACCAATTACTGTGGTTTGCAAATGACATTGTTAGGCTTAGCGTATTGCATAAACTCAGTCTGCTATGGTTCCTTTTAGAAACGGTATTTAAGAGAACACGCCACCCTCGAAAAGGAGGGGGAGCTCCAGCCCCAGAGTGGTCTTTTGCTGTATTTTAATGACGGTGGAAGCAGTAAAATACTAGCCTGCTCCAAAATGGAACCAGCTCCATGGATTCTCCAGCCGTCCAGAGGCTAGCTGATCCCAGCAAATGGAAAAAACAAACAGCCATTCCAGTCATGAAATATTCTGTTTGCTTCTAATGGGAGCAATCAGCTCGTTTCCCTCCAGGAGCTGGGCCAAGAAGGTCAAATACAGTGTAAGTTGGAAACACACATTTTCTTTTAGTAACGCTTTTGTTACGGCAGGTGTCATTCATTTTTGGAGTTTTTCTTCTTCATCCCGCCTCTCGTCTTAATGAAAAGTTTAGCATTAAACATATCACTAAGAAGAATTACATCTATTTTGAGATATAAAAATAGTAACCATTTGGCAAAAGAACAGGACAAATGGGTTTTTTAGAACTGGAAAAAAATGGGTTTTTAAATTAGGCCGTGTCGCTGTCCAGGTGCTGAAAAGTTAAGGTATAGGATCAAATATTTGAAAACGCAGTAATCATTGTGATGGTATTGTGTTTTATTTTTAATGAGCAGAATTGCTGTTCTTGGCAGCTCAGTCCAAAAAGGTTTTCATGCTGTTCAGTGACATAGGCTCCCTCACCAAGGCTCAGAACGATACAGGTGTGATGTTGAACCAAATGCTTGCAAAGATGGGGCAACCATTTGGGAATCAGGAATCTGGAATGGAAACAAAGCAGTTTGGAGATTATCAAGTCCAGCAAGGATGCCCCTGCACTGGGACCTCTGCTAGAGGCTTCAGTCTGAACGACCACTTGGAGCCCTGCTGGATCTGGTGGTCCAAATCTCCTTCACCTCTGTGCCCCTGAGAAGCTCAAGGCAGGAGGCCATTGTCCCGTGGGAAGAAGAGATGCCCAGCTCACAGTTCCCCAAAGAATTAAATGGGGCCCAGTTCTCTGTGATGGCAAGGAGATGTCTTACTTGCCAGGCACCACTAGAGATGGGATTTGGGTCGATGGAGGGCCACCAATCAAGACATGGAGCTGAAGAAGAGCTGACCTTTCCTGGCCTGCATCAGAGTGTGCAAAGGCATTTTCTTTGGTGAGAAGCCCAAAGTGTTCTCTGAAGTGTGCTATGGAGCAACCGAGCTCCTCTGATTGGCAAAAGCTTTTGGTTGTAGTGGCTTTCAAGAGGGCAAGTGGTCATCCTGACCAACCTGGTGGGGCCAGGAAGTCCCAAGAAGTTGAGTTTGATGCACAAAAAAGTTTTCTCTGCATATATTTTTGGGTATTTTCCTGTTAGCTCCATGATCAAAGGAGCGTGCTAATCCAGCAATTCTATGCAAGGCACTGAGACAGACAATGAACCAATCAATGGGATTGTGGTGTAGGAGAGCTTTGCAGTCTGGCAAAGACGCAGCTGCGACTGAACTCGGCAAGTTTCTCCTTTTTGCATCTTGGAATTTAATAGCCTGATCTTTTGAAATAAAAAGGACACATTTAAAGCCTTCTACCTCTGCATGTGTGGCTTTGAAAAATCCCAGCACCGACTCGGAGGCAGAATGAAAGCTGCTGAATCTTTCGAATGCAGCTTTATCTCCTTCTCTGAATGCCTGAAACTCAATTGGACCTGATAAGATCAGCCAGAAGAACTTTCAGCCAGGGTTTAATCACCTCTCAAGCAATTTCCCATTACAGGCTTCTGCATCTCCCATCGCGTCCACCCGTGTCCTCCACTATTGTTCTTAGCAGTCCTGTAATTCTCTTCAGTCAGAGTTGTGTAATTGTCAAGCTTTCAGCTCCACGTCCTCCCTGATTCATTGGCCTCTTCAGGAGCCCTTCACAATGGGCCTGTGACAGATTGTTTCATACATTAACAAAAGGAGCGTCAGCTGCTGAATTACTTCAGATGGGCATAAACCCATCCCACATGAAACCAAGAACCTGGAGCAGCTGCTGCTACATCGAGAGTTGAGCACCAGGTGTCTCTGCTAACCAAAACCCTCATCCGGCCCCAGGACCAACTGGAATCCCTTTGGCAGTCCTGTTGGGATCTGAACAGGGGAGAGCGGACCAGATCCAACTGTTTCGCACCAGCGAGAGTGAAAGAGCTGCATTATGGAGCTGATTGGAGACCAGGAAAAGAGACTCACGCTTAAACATGTTGCCTTTTTGTATTGTGTCAAAAACTGGCCTCTCTCTCCCAACAATCCATCCTCCAGCAAATGTTACAGATTTTCAGAGTGATTGAAGTTTACTTTTTAAATTTCTCTTGGAGACAGTTTTGAACTTCCTCCCTTGCAGCTGTTTTTTTTGGGGGGGGGCTGTTATGCTTCTCTCCGCTGCTCTGCAGACTCCCTGCCTACTCCTACCTGCCAATCAGGCAAGCTGAGCCTTAACGTTGGATTCAGTGTGCTGTATGAACCCAGCCAGTTGAGGCTGACCAGAGGGAGGGAATCCTGGGGGCCTGACTGAGGGAGAGGCAGCCCCAGGCCTCGCCCTTCACTGGCAGAGGTTGAATGGAAGACTGGGAAGCTGGAGAGCTGCCAAGCAGAAGTCATTCTTCTTGCTCCTTCAGCAAAACAAGCAATTTCTTGAGAAATCTTCTCCATCTTTCCCCTTGAAAGGAAAAAAAAGAGAGGGAGAACACCAGAGCAGAGCAGGGGTGGCAGTTTCTGTAGTTGATGCACGCATTTATTCACACCAGCTCCAGAGCCATCAGGGAAGGCAAAGGAAGGGCATTTTTGGCCTCTACCTTGGCATTGGTGTTTTCAAGCTGCCAACAAAAGAGCAACATGAATCAGTTGTCCAACAGGAGCAACATTGTCTGGTCGTCACTGATCCTATGAAGCAAACAAAGGAAAGAAATCAACCGGGAGGGTTTAATTTCCTCTCTTCAGGGCCATACTTGGGGGAGGAGAAATATGGTGGGACCCATCATCAGTTTCCATGGCCTAAAGGGCTCTCTCTGGTTAGCCATCCCACTCACCAAAATACAGATACTGTTGCTCTGATGTCTTCTTGATTTCCAATCTCACTTCCAACCTGCTTGAGAGCAGGCCCACCAGTCAACAAGAGGGTTCCTCTGCTGATAAAATGGTCTCCATATGTCCAAAGAGGTGCTGGAGATGAAAGCTTCCAACCTCCCCATCTACAAATGCTTTCTTTGACCAGCTTGCCATAAAGGAGACCCAAGAGGAGTGCGTCCAGGTGGTAAAAGGGAAATAAGTTCCAGGCTGAGCTGGGGAGGGCTATTCCAGGATGATGAGCAGACGGTCGCTTTTCTGCCAGAGTGAATGTGGCCTGGGGGTGGGCAGAGAAGGGGGGGGGGTGTCAGGTCCCCCAATTAACTCATCAGCAGAACCCTTTCCATTAGCCCTCCAATATGCGGTAGCCTCTTTGAAGGCTTCCGGACTTTGCTGGCCTGCAAACAAGCTGTGAAGGTTTCTTGCAACCTGTGTTCCCTCAAGGATATCAGCTGCTTCTCACCAATCTTCCTTT